AAAAAAAAAAAAAAAAGAGCAAAATATAAGTTTTTTACATTACTTCAATACTTTGTAGGATATCCTTTATTCTTCAAAACAGCTTGCAGACGTCTGGGCATTGACTGAACTAGTTTTTCAGTGTCATCCGACGTAAATTTCGCCTATTCTTCCTGCAATTTACTAATTAGCTCATTTCGCCAAGTAATATTGTGTTTTCGAATTCATTTCTCCAATTTTGCCCACAAATGTTCGATTGGATTGAGGTCTGTGTTGACTGTGGAGGAGTACGCAACTATCTTGGAGTGTGATAGAGGAGATATTCCTTCACAATTTTAGCTGTATGTTTCGGGTCGTTGTCTTGTTGGAAAATAAAGGTATTAGAAAGGTTTAAATTTCGGGCACTGTCTCGTAGATTTTTCTTCAGAATATCCAGATAAACATACTTATCCATGACTTTAACAATAATGGGAAAATTTCCAACTCCTTTCGACGACATACACCCTCATACCATCACACCGTCAGCTCCATGTTTGACAGTTGGATTTAAATTTCTCAGATTCAGTTCTGTTCCTGGTTTTCTCCATACAATAGGGTGGCCATTAACTTTAAATATTGTAAATTTACTTTCATCTGACCAAATTAGATTGTTCCAGAAGTCCTGCAAAGAGTTTAAATATGTTTTGGCAAAAGCAGTTCTTTTCTTTCTATTTGTCTCGGAAATGTATGGCTTAGACCTAGGGTTTGCAACCATGATAATCGGCCTTTCGGATTCGTACAGTTTTTAGGAGAAATTTCCTTGTTGCTAGTTAAAAAAATGTCTTTTGCAATGCTTGCAGCAGAAAGTTTAGGATTTTGTTTAATTCGTAAAAGAATTTTTCTTTCTTCTCTCTGCGTTAGCTTCTTCGGTCTCCCAAATATTGGTTTTACAGCAAGACTACTAGTGTCAAGATAGTTTTGAATAACTCTTTGCACACTAGAAAATGGTTTTGAAATGTTTTTTACCAATATAGCGAAGAGTTTTACCTTCATCTCTCAATTTGATAATTAGTTGTCTCGTAACTAAAGGAATCTCTTTATTGGTTGTCATTTTCGTCAAAGAAAATAGAAATAACAATTTCCAATCAACGTAAAATTTGCTTCGGAAGTCAATGACCTTGAAAGTGTAACCTTCTTTGCATTCTCAAGTTTGAAGTTTAAAAGTTAGATAAGAAATCTCCTGCCTCCTTCGCGTTGTACGCAAACTTTATTGGCTTTGATTTCTGGCCACTTATCTTTTAAAAATTAGTGTGCATAAATTATTAGATATGAAAATATTACAGTTAAATAATTTCAAAGTCCCTTATTGAAACTAAATATTTAAAAAATAAAACAAAGAAACTACCCTTTTCGCACCTTAAAATTTGGATTTGATATTACTTTTCTTGATGTAAGCAGACTTTATTGAATAACTGTATGTCATTATTATTCAATAAAAGTAGTAAAATTTGGCTTTCCACATACTGGTTATTGGGAAAACCGCACATATAATAAAAAGAAAAGATTGACCAGTGATAAATAAAATATAATAAAATGAAAAATTGACCATTAGAAAGTGTGGATCCAACTCATGTTGAGCTTCACATTATTATTCAATAAAAGTAGCAAAGTTTGGCTTCTCACATACTGGTTGCTGGGGAAAACCTCACATATAATAAAAGGAAAAAATTGGTACGAAAAAATGAATTAATTTTAGAAATTGTGGATCGAACTGATGTTGAGCCTCACCTATATCATTATTATTCTGATAAAGTAGTAAAGTTTGGCTTTCCACATGCTAGTTGTTCGGAAAACCACACATGTAATAAAAGGAAAAAAATGGCAAAATAAAGTCTGTCATCAGAATGTCAATACTTCTACTGAATCCTTGGCTAAATCTACTGTAAATATTATACGGTAAGATTTCACTTCAAAAGTTTGGGTTTGCGTTTCTATACGTAAAATTTTCAGAAACCTGACAAAGGTCCATTTTCTCGTATTTAACGGTGAAAAAGCTTTAATTATTTAGAGTTCGGTCAATTCCAAATATAACGTCATCATTAGGCGAGATACTGATGTTTGCCGTAAAATACAGGTACACACTGTTAATCACGAGTATCAAAGATTATTATCCTTACAAGTATTCGTCATCCATATCGGTGCGAAACAAAACTATTTTCAAAACAAAACACCTATTTCAACTGGTCAGCCAAATTACCCGTCGTGCATCAACACAGAAATTGTCACATGCAGGTTATAAACTTGGAATCTTACTGCAAGACTCTCTAAGCAATTAACTCCCAAAAATTACAACGCATTCAATAATATTTTGGAATCTGCTTTTTGTAACGTTTATCATCATTTTCCTATCCCAAGCAGGGAAGGTTGCTATTTAGGCAGTGAAGTTGGTATACTGCTGTCATCGTGACCGGATTCAGAAATGTATGCATGTATATGTTTGTACGTTCATACGCACTTACATATATACATGCATACATGAACACGTATATTCTATCCATGCACGCATACATAAATATATTTCTCAATACGATCCCCACAACAGAAGAGTACCGTGAAGATTTATGGGTTTGCCAAAAAGGATGAACAAGATTTTCTTACCCCAGCCATATTCTGAACATAGTGAGTAAGCAGCAGGTCGTGCAAAATTTCATTTCGAAAGTTTGGGTTTGCTTGCAGCGTAAAAGTAAATATTGATTTCGAATATATATATAAATGTTTTATTAAAGAAAAATATATAACGATAGAAAAAAAAATTATACGAAGTTAATTTTTCACTTAGATCAATCTTTAATAATTTTGACTGGATGAATAACATATAAAATAGCCCATATCTATTAGTTTAAGAGAATGTTTAATTCGCGATGACGCAAATGTTATTAAAATACAAAGTTAATTTTCCTAATGAGCACATTTTCTTACCAGTGAATAAGCACGCATTTTTACCCTTTGCAGGTAATGTTGCCAACAAGGGGACTTCCGTATTAACGCCACCGCAGCAGAAGTTGCGCTGATGCGCCAATAAAGAGTAATCGTGTTGTTCGCACGCAGTTATCTTTTGGATTCTTTTTTGCCTCGTTGTTTGCTGATTTTTGACGCCATTTTTTAGTGCTACGAAAATGTGTCTAAGATTTGCCAAACATCCGAGTATTACCCGAACAGTGGGTGGTATATGTAGATAAACAAAAGATTCGTTTGTTGTCACTGTTCCTAAAAGAACTGACTCACCCTTCTTTATAAAATTATAGAAAACATTGCAGATGGTAGCACAATTTATTCTGACAGATGGAAAGGTTACCAAACAAATAGAAAAAGAAGGATTTATACATGCTAAAGTTAATCATAAATACAATTTTATTGATGCCGATACAGGAATTCATACACACAAACAGTTGAGAAAATGTGGGGCAGTGCTAAATGGAGGAACAAGAGACAGTGAGACATCATTTAGCATCTTATTTAGCAGAGTTCATATGGCGACAGATTTAGGTCGAAGAAAATAGACTGTTTTGAATCTATGTTAAACTCTGTATCAGAATTTATGATTTGTCGCAAAAATTTTAGGTGTAGTTTGGCGCCACTTAAAAACCGCCAAATCTGCAGCTGCGGTGGCGTTAATACGTAAGTATCCCAACAAGTCTAAGATGTATAAAATAGTAGTTCGTCGAAAATAGTCAAACGTAGCTTTGTCCAATCGGTTACGAATGCTTCACACTTGAACACCTTCTAAATGCTCACAGTTTCACAACTGAAAGCCAAGAGAAATTTACTTTGTTGTTTAAAATCAAAATTAATTATCGTCTAACGGTAATATAGTAAGCTGACACAAAGGAAAATTATTCAAATGCCTACTATGCTGAATAAACGTTGTTTTATATCAAAAGCTGTCTTAAGAAATTGTATTCGGTTTTATATTTGAAAGGCAGATCGTCTCGTGTAAGATTTCTTTTTATTAAATCACATATTAAAAGTGTACGATATTACGCGATTGTCAGTATGTACTTGGCTGCCTTGTTTCAGAAAGCATTTTCGGTTACTCACTTTGCAAAGTGTGAATAGCTTACCCGAGTAACAGTGTTAGATTCAGTTCCTAGAAAGCAAACACATAAGTGCATTGTGCTTTAAGTGCTAAATCGGGGGTATTTAACATGGCAATCAGAATTGCCATTTCTGTGGTATCCGGGGTATTTCAGACAACCAAAGGGCAACATGGCAAGTCTCGGAGGAGGAATGCCGTTTCTGATTATTGTGACACTTGGGCAGTTGAATTTTTCCAATAAATGTTTCAACTTTAGTGCTAAGATAAATTAGCTAAGTAAGATAACGGATTTGGTAAAAATTTTCATCAGGAATAAGCAGGGCCTGAAACGTGGAAGGGGTACCTTAGTTCTGTACTTTGTTACTTGCACAACTTGATGCCCTTTAAAAGCTAACTCGGTAAATAATTAGAAACAATGTTGATAAGTGAATTCGAGAGTATGCCTCCAAGAAGACCTTTTAAAAGGGTTTCTTATTGCGCAGGTTAAAGACATTGTGTTTTGCTAAAAACACAATGTGTTTTTAGCAAAACACAATGTCTGCTAGAAAATACTAACTGAAGATCCTATGATCATTTTCAGTAGTCGGCTCAACTTATAGAAATTCACCGTTCATCACCAAAGAACTTGCATTCTGGTGGTTCATAAGATAAAGATTTTACAGAGGTGTAAAAAGCTTTACCCTTTCTAGGCTTGACCATATTTGGTGTGGCCTAGCTGGGATTTGGCTGCTGCTTTTGCAACCTTACACCTGCCTAGACATTATTATCATTTAAATTACTAGAACTTAGAAGGTCAGGGTGAACAACACAATTCACAGCCATGCCAGAATTTACATCATTATTAACATTTACATCAGAAATAGCATTAGAAACATTATTAGATATACTGTATCATCATCAATATTAGCTAGAAAATCTATTTAGCAAAGCAATAGAGAACTCTGGCTTAGTAAGGTTAATTCACTCGTCCGTTTTATTGGGTTTTGAAAGTCGCAATTATTAACATTATCAATGCCAGAAATTTCAATTTTTATATTATTAATTTACAAAAGGATTTATAATTGGTAAACTAACTCTATTTGCAAACAAGATATCTCACTTACCCCGGAGAACACATGACCCGAAGAACTTGACATGAAGAGTCCAATATCCTTAAAAGAGTCTACACAATTCACTATTCATATCACAGCACGATGCATCGAGCACACTTAATCCATAAGAAAAGCACACTCTCAATAAAAAGAAAAAAGCGAATAGAATTCCCAGAAATAGCAGTTTCGTCGGACATGGTTAAGAGACGTACTAACATTGGGAAGGTATACATCGTAATGAATCTTGAATCCAATTCTTATGCTTCATTTTCCCGGCACAGGTTACGTGGAACCGTTTCAGAAATCAAGTGTTTCGTGCAAAGATAAAAGTTCTTCAATCAGCAATGTAATAGTAGAAAGTTTTCAAACGACCTAAATTTACGAAGCCCCTTGGAAGTCAACGTGCCAGTACGCAAGTGCCGAAATAAAGAATACCGAAGGACCTTCCGAATATTCTAAAACACACGTTGCTTCGTTCTCGGCTGTCACAACTTGTACCATTCATCCAGTTACCCTGTAAAATAAAAATTTATGTAGAGCTGTTATAGATATTTCAGAGTGGGAAAATTAATTAAACAAATTAGAAAATTGGGTACTTTTCCGTTTTGCCAGCGCAGACGATAAAATCGCCAGTAACGGTGTGAAACTGATGCCAAACGGAATATCTTCGCTGGTAACCTTTTACGCGTCGTTTTCAAAACAATTCGCAGCTATTTCTTATCATATTGATTACTGATACTGGCATACAATTACGTAGATTTTTTTTTACCAGATAGTTCAATTTTATGCCCCTCGCGGTAATTATGTCAATTAGGATGCAATCATACGGCTCACCCGAAGGCGAAAGTACAGAAAAGGCAAGGTCAAGGATTAAATTCATCAATTCTGATGACAATGCACTAGCGAAATAAAGCACTGCGGTTTTACATAATTTCTGAATAAGCTACTCGTAAGAATTGAAATAATTCTTGCATTTAAACTTGTATCCCAATTTTAAGATTTAACTTGAAATTAATGTAAATAATTACTGAGAGAATTAGATTTTTGTAGCGTAATTTACGTGAGATGAGATCACTTGGGGTCACGTGATATGAACCGACGAATCAGGATTTTGAATCACAAAAGCACAGTAAATTATTGATCTCATTTTACAAATTTATTGTGTTTATTTATTGGCTTTTTGCAAAAATTTAAACGATATTAAAAGGAAAAAATAATAATAAAATTCAAACTACAAAATTCTTAGAGCTAACACTTGTTAACATTTTTTATGAGTACACTGTATGTTGTCGTCGATAAAGTCCGCTTGGCGAGATTTGCACCGGCGGAACGGAAAAGTACCGAAAATTGTTATCGTACAAAGCTAAATTACACGCTATTTAGAAATTCTGATATAAAATTGATTGATTTAAAAAACTTGTCACCTGTTAAATGAATGCATTCCGAATTTACTCAGTTATTTTTCCAAAATACATTTAATTATTTGCTTGCGATTAAGATATAAATTAGGTATAGATTTCGAGATGGAAAGTTATGTTACAAGTTGACTGAAACTAAGATCAACAAAATTCATAAAATCAATTATTCCGTATTTTTAATTATCTTACAGAAATGAATTTATACTAGCAATATTTGAGCTTGAGGTCATAATGAAAACTTTGCATCTCCAAATGTTCTCAATTCATCGATCAAATTTTAAGACAGAACTAGCGGGCTGCTGACAAAGCAAAATTTAAAAGTTCTCTGCAGCTCTGGAAAGTAAATATATAAAAACATTTCCAATATGAATGAAATGAGTTCATTCTTTCCAAGCAACAACCAGGTCCTAAATAATCTTTCATTGCCAACCCAAGAAACAAAAACTTTGACACCTCAGGTTAAAACGTATGACGTCATGATTTAATTTTAATGTAATATAACAGAATTTACTCAATAACAATAAAAGAATCAACGTGGCATTAGCATATCACGTCCTTTATACTAACCTGAAACAAAAACGTTGCCGATAGCAACCATTTATTTAAAATGCTGACAATGAAAAATTTTCGACATACAATGACATCACATGCTATAACGTGCTTTCTTCAAAGTTCGAATATGACCTTGTAATAATAATACGATTAAAATTTGGCAACATATTTTTATTTCATATTTTATAAAACTTACTTTTTTATTAATAAATAAACTCTGCGATTTGAATGCGAGCAGTGGCAACACTTTTCCAAATAAAGCAGATTTTTTTTTTTTATCTCAGCGCGATAGACTGTTGCCTTTCGGAAAAATGAGTGAGAAAATTAGCGTTTTCTGAGTTTTTAATCAATATCTTGATAAATCAAAGTCGTACGAAGAATGAGAATGATCAACATGGCTTTCCACGAATTTTTGGAATCCCGGGGGGAGGCATCTCTGGAAGCTTAACTCCCTGCAGTTCTGGAAGAGATAATGCCACAAACAGACAGACGCACACAGATGAAAGTAGCTAAATGTTTTTACCTATTGAAATCAGTCAAAAGAAATACAAGAATAATATATACAAGAAACGAAGAAGTCCAATTTAATGACTTATTACATTTACATAAATATATGAAAATTATCCGTATTTTTCTGTTTCAAATGATACCGGCATTTTTTGTACAAGTTTCCTACTTGCACTTTTTTTTTTTTTTTTTTTTTTTTGTTTTGTTTTTGTAGATCGGCGGCAATGAATATTAATCTGCTATGAGATAATGACATATACCAATGGTACTCGACCCCATTTGAGGTCGCAAAAATTTATAGTGGGTTCCCAAAGTGCATAAAATTCTATATTGATGGTTAGAGTCGGCGCTCTTTTTGGAAACGCGAAATTCTCTTTGGGGGTTGGTTTGCATTTTTATGGGGCCATAAAGTTTAATACGAGATATAGAGTATTATTTTTTCAGTTTCTTGTTCCTTAATGATGTGATTTTACTGTAAACCTTACATTGTATACATTATGCAAATGATATTCCATTCTTTAATAAAAATCATCATGTGAACCTTTACAGCAGAGGGTAAAAATGAAATGATTTCAGAGTTGTTTTTGTTATCTTCTATCCTTCGATGTTTCAGGAATTTCGTTACTACGCTTATAAAAGCTACCTAGCCTCACATATAACATTTTTCAATGCATTTTGAGTCGCTCGTTAGTTCTTTAATTTTAGGGCAAAGAGAATAATAACTTGTAAGGTATGTTTTTATGGACAGATTTAACTTCATCATTGACTCCAAATAACGCTATGTCCTCAGATGTAGAATGCAATTCGTTATTTTTAAAGTCCAAGGAAAAATTGTATTTCCTTAGAAAGTCCAATTCGAGTATGCAAGAATCAGTGATCTCTGCTACATATGCCGTGTGATGGTAAGCGGCACTTCCAAACGTGATCTTAGCATTTACTTTTCCATCGATGTTGATCTTCTCACCGGACACAGTCTTTAGGGTAACGCAGGGCGGCGTCCAGATAAGTTTGCTTCCCAGTTGTTGAGCCAAATCTTTTCGGATGATGGTAACGTTGGCTCCTGTATCTATCGTCATATTGCAGGGAACTCCATTAATATGTCCTATTATGAAAAGTCCATTACTGCCGCCTCTCACTGCAGAAATCTGAAGCGCTTTAAACTGGGCCTTTTCATGATCTGGCAACCTCCGCCCCGCGAGATGGCCACTAATTAGTTTCCCTGCTGTTTGTTAGGAGCGGTCTTAGCATCCGTGCCCTGGGGTGTTCTGCAGTTTCGTCGGATGTGTCCTTCAGCACCGCAGTTCCAGCACTTTACGGTCGGTTTCTTGTCACCAATATTCTGTCTCAAGGCGTTCAGTTGTCTAGTTAAATCGTCTAGACGAGCAGTGACTTGATCCCCTGGCTCCTGGACTTGAGCAGCTCTGACTGGATGGCGGTCTCGACGGGTGGCTTGCTGGGCTGCCTCAAATTTCATGGCATACACTAAAGCGCTTTTCAGATCTTTAACATCCGCCATTCGCAGTGCTTTCTGTATTTCAAGGTCCCGGATGCCATCGATGAAATATTGCAGGGACAGGATTTCCCTTGTTTCTGTCGGGAACTCCGAAAAGGCGTGATGTGACAGCCTTTCAACATCCGTGGCGAGCTTCTGAAGCGTTTCGGTGAGCTTCTGTTGACGAGATTTTAATTGGAGCCTGCTGTAGTCTTTTAAACATTTTTCGCCGAAGCGCAGCTCCAAAGCGCCGGATAGAGCTTCGAAATCTAGCCTTCGATTTTCGGGAAGCGTCTGCAGGATATCCGCTGCGTCGGCTCTCAAAGAAGCGGCGAGATGACAGGCCTTAGCTTGGGAATCCCATCCATTCGCATCCGCCACGATAGAAAATTGTGTCTTATACACCTGCCAGGAGGTCTTCCCATCATATGTCGATAGCTTCAGAGGTGGACGAGCAGGCATTGGTAAGAATTTAAAATCATCACTCCTGCTCCCTGCCGACGCTATGAATTTCTTTAAAGTATCCATTTCTTTGGCAACTGCAGAAACTCTCTCATCAATTTTTTGTTCGATTTGGTGTTGGACGGCACAAACTCTTCCTTCTATATGTTCTTTTACAGAAGAAACTCTTTCTTCTATTTCTTCTTTCACCGAAGAAACTCTTTCTTCAATATGATCTTTTACGGAAGAAACTTTTTCTTCAATATGTCCAACTTTATTTTCAACTGCGTCAATTGTGCCTTCCATAGCTTCAAATTTATTTTCTATTATGCAAGTAATTTCTCTTTTCATGTCTTCTTGACCAGCTTGAACGGCTTTCATTTCGTCCTTAACGGATTCCTGGCCCAATTTCATTTGTTCTTTAATTTCTTCTTTAAATGAGGCAAAGGCTGATATTAACTGCCTTAATTGCTCTTCCATCGCTCTTGTTATTGGCATTCAAATCCCACTTCTGACACCAAAAATTGTTGCGTGCGTACGGGTTCGTTATGAAATGAATGCACAAGTCTGATGAAAAATGAATAAAAATTTATTATTATTACAACAAAAATGCTTACATTTTCTCAAATTATCACGCAGTATTACAATATCTCACAGTAGTTATCTTTTAACTACTCAAATGTACAATAGAACGTAATTCAAAACAGCTAAAGAACGCTAATCCGCGAATTCGCTATAATCAACAACAGCAGTTTTCTAAACAACAACAAACTAAGCGACTACTACAAACTGAGATGTTTTCCTCCTTTTATAAGATTTTTAAATCACGCGCTAGAATTTTCCAGTATTTTCTCGAAATCAAAAGAGATATTTATTTATTTAACGCACGCGCTCTTGTATTTTTAATTTTTCCGGCTAGCTTTCTTTTACTATTCGTCACGCGCTGCACTGCGCGAGAAATAAAACCATTTAATTTATAATTGAACTAACATTAGCTTTTTAAATACCAAATTCGTAACAATATTATGCAAATGATATTCCATTCTTTCATAAAAATCATCATGTGAACCTTTACAGCAGTGGGTAAAAATGAAATGCTTTCAGAGTTGTTTTTATTATCTTCTATCCTTCAATGTTTCAAGAATTTCGTTACTACGCTTATAAAAGCTACCTAGCCTCACAAAGAACATTTTTCAATGCATTTTGAGTCGCTCGTTAGTTCTTTAATTTTAGGGCAAAGAGAATAATAACTTGTAAGGTATGTTTTAATTTTATAACAGTTATTTTAATTTAGTGAACCTTTCCTGTCTTAATCTCGTTTCAATTTAAAACTCCCTACCAGAATGAGTTATTAGAATGGCGTTGAATGCAAAGGAGGGAGAGAATAGTATTAAAGTCAAGTTCAACTGACTTCGACACACAACAACTCTATTTTGGCTTGCTATGCAGATGACACCGTGTTAGCTGTGAAATCTGCAAATGTAAATCGTGCAGTCAAAAAAAAACATCCAGATCTTTATTCTTCCGATTGAACAGTGATGAGAACAATGGAAAATTCAAATGAATGCCTCAAAGTCACAGCTCTTGATCCTTCGGAAACGCAAAAGAAACGCTCCGATCAAAAAAAACAACTTTCTTTATTCAATGAAATTGTTCCGGTGGTTTCCCAGGCCAAATATCTTGGTGTTTATTTAATGTTGGTGTCCTATTTAATGACCGCCCTACTTGGACACATCACGTTAATAATGTGCGTGAAAGGAGACTTAAAATCATGAAATGCTTATACCGTATTATTGGGAAATACTCTCCACTGGACTTGGACAAGAAGAGACTTATTTAACTCTCCGTTATCAGCCTAGTCATGACTTCCGGTTCGCAGGCATGGGTTACTATCTCCGACAGGGAACTTTAGAAGCTTCAGGTGATGCAAAGCAGATATTTTCGCATTATTACAAATGCGCATTTCTATGTACGTAAAATATGTCTTCACGACGATCTTAAGATCGAATCATTGGCAAAGTTTCTCAGAAAACTCAATGAACGCTTCTATCAGAAGCAGAAAGCACAAGAATGTAATATAATGAGCCACTCTGAACGTTTTAGCAACGAGATTCTTCACTAGATGCCAGTAGAATGGTGTCTCAACACCAGAGTACCTGGGCAAAAGCCCTACCCCTTGTAGAACACAATTAAGACGATTTGAATCACATTAAGGTTAGCCAGGACTGAGATATATGAATAGGATATAGGATAATTAAATTTTTAAAAACATTTTAATCTATATTTTTAGGCAGAATGTATATCTGAAGGCCAGAAAGCAGTCGAGCTGGTGATGTGATTTCTGAAAGACGAGAGATTAGCACATGACATGTCAAGTGTGAGAATGATGGTGCCAGAGTACACGAAGGGATGCAAAAGATTACAATACCAAGAAGCGAGACCAGCGATAATATTTTAGCAAGATAAAATTTAGTTAGACATGTTACATATGACCTACACAGATATTCTACAGAATAAAACGCATGGTACAGATATTAATATGTGCAAATATAAGGATAAAGGATACAGTAAGCACATAACAGTAGTTACATAATCCATTTGTTAAAATAGCTAGAGACCTGTCCATATAACTGAAGTCATTAAAATCGTAATCAGCAATTTTTACGGCAGGGTTGGTCAGGGAAAGTTGTTTAGTATGAAATTTCTTCGCCCATTTTCGACTTTCATGTTCAGCTATAACCAAAAGTTTCATACATAAAGTTTAATGTGCTTTCGCATCTGCTCTGTCCAAAAATCTCAGCGGAATATG